GAACAGTTTTTTGTTTATATAATCAGTTAACAAAATTATAAATCCAGATGATGTAGTCAATTATCCTAGAGATTTTTAAATTCATTATAATTACGTGGACTCTATCTAATGATATTTTGCAATAATTAAAAGTAGGATTAGTGGTCCTTATGCTGCGTAACAACAACCGACCGCGACTATGCACGGAACAAGACTGACTGAAATAAAAATATTATTTTATCATAGAGTAGGGTTGTTCAACTGGCGGCCCGCGGGCCGCATCCAGCCCGTGAGGCTATTTCTTGTGACTCACGTAAGATTTTCGTAAAGCATATATTGTGAAATGTGAAAAAAGATTTTTTAATTTATTTTATATTTTATGGTTTAGCAGTGTTTTTACATCACAAGTACTGTACCATGTGCCGCTTCGCGGACGTGTAACGAACACAATCGTCCTCCACCACTATGAGAACTGCACTGATTACTGCGCATCACAGTTCACGCAGGCCACACCTCCCACTGCTTACCATCCGTCGCCAGCCGCCATCGTGCCAGTGTGCTACTGACACGTATGCTAGTCGGCTAATCTATTACGTTGTTAGTGAACACTGAACAGTGACCTTGATTAATTCTTTGTCTTGATGCCTCTTATACAATAATGAGTGTAAAACCAGTAAAACGGAAATTGATAGTGAGAACAGAATTTACAAAGAAAGTTGGGAGAGTGACTACTTGATTGCTAACAATAATGGAAAGTTGCAGTGCTTAGTGTGCATGAATGTCGTTTCAGTGCCTAAAGAATATAATGTGAGAAGACATTACACCAGTGCATGAAAATAAGTATGCTACGTACACAAATGAAAGTCGGCGTGCCCTAGTTGTAGATTTGAAGAAAAAGCTTAAACAGCAAACTGGTATGTTCAGTAAAATAATACACTCTCAAACGTATTCTTTGCATGCATCTTATGCCGTGTCTCTTAAGCTGGCAAAGGCAGAAAAACCTTTCACTGATGGCAATTTGATAGAAAAATGTGCTGTTGAAATGGCCAAAGCTTTCGGTGATTCTAAAATAGCGGAGAAATTTAAATCAGTGCCACTTTTACATCAAACCATACAAAGAAGGATTGTTGCTATGGGTGAGCAAGTAGAAAAATCTATGCTTAACCTGGTTAAGAAAAGTTCATATTTCTCACTTTGTTTGGATGAAAGCACTGATCAAACCGATGTTAGTCAGCTGTTAATATTTGTATGCACTACTTTTGATGATTTTACCAGTAAAGAGGAGTTATTTGATATTTGTCCTCTTTATGGAACAATAAAAGGAAAAGACATCTATGGGGCTGTGAAGAAAACAGTTGACAGAATTGGAGGCTTTGATAAATGTTCAGCTATAGCAACAGACGGGGCCCCATCAATAACAGGTAAAAAACTTGGATTAGTGAGTCTGCTTCGAGAGAATGGTGTCACTTGCCCAACAATTCATTGTATTATACATCAGGGAGCTTTATGTGGAAAATTGGTCAAGGAAGATTAAGTTTTCCAAACCATGATTAAGAATATAAATATGATTAGAGGTGGAAATCGATCTCTTTTTCACAGGCAACTTAAGCAGTTTTTAGTGGAAACAGAGGCTGAGTATGGAAACTTGCTAATGTACAACCATGTAAGGTCGCTGAGTACAGCCAAACAAATACGTTTCATCTGACACATCTGAACTGGAAGATAAGTTTAAGGATCCAGAATTCTTAAGACAGTTAGCTTTTATTACAGATCTGACTAATCATCTTAACATGTTAAACTTGAGTCTTCAAGGAAGAAACCAGACGGTTTCAGATTTATTCGGAATGATAAACGGATTCCGGAATAAGCTGAACGTGTTTAAACGTGTTTTTGGAAAAGAACAACCTGACACACTTCCCTAGCTGTCTGCAAATACCAGAAGAATTCAACGGTGAGGAAAATATTGAGTTTTCATCCTGCATTTCACAAATTGAACAAGTTAGACAAGTTAGAACATGTATGATTTTTTAACATTTTTATACATAATATGTTTAAGTCTCTTTTTGATTTATTTTTGTAAGTTTTTATAATTTGATTACTTTTTATTAAGTTCAAACATAGCTTATGTGAAATATTGAGTATAGGATAGGCAGATGGACTATGCAGTAGACAACACTTTTAAATATTATGGCATTAACTATGTCTTTTAACTTAATCAGTACCCTTACTCAAAATAACATTCAGTTATCACTTAGGTCGGAGATATTCATTATTTATTAACACAGTACCATCTTTTCTTACAATTTAGTATCAAAATGTTAATTTTAATTTACAAGTGACGTGATGTTATACACCAAAACTCTTTTAATGTGTTAGTTGTCTATACTTTTCAGGTGTGCTTTGCTTTTGTAATGTTAATTTAAATGACATTACAACTAGCTACCCAAAATTAAGTTAGGTAAAACAAGTTTGGTCTGAAACTTCAATAGTAGTTCTAGTAGAATATGACGATAAAACATGAAATTATATATCTCTTATTCTATATATTTATGAGATAATACAGTGCACAAAATGAAGGGATATAGAATAGGAGCTAAGAAGATTAAAATATTGTACTACACAGACGACGCAGTTTTGGTTTCCAAAACAAGGACAACCTACAATTGTTGAAGCCGCTAAAACAAACTGTATGACAACATCAAAGACACCTTTAGGGTGTAAAGTCATGGTAAATTGATCAATTATTCAGCAAGAGATAAAGTTTATATACTGTGGCTTAGAACTATTAGACTAAGGCGACATTGAACGAGAGAACTAAAATAACAAATACCGAGAACAACAAAAATAGCTGGCTGTCCAATCAATACAATATGTCATAATAAAAAAATTTGCATTGAGGCTAAATATATATTATACAAAGTTGCTATTCAGCTTATATTAACATATACCAAACAAACTAGACCAAAAACCACAAAAACCAAGAGTTTGTTGAAACAACAGAAATAAAGGTACTTCGTGCATAGCTGGAAAGACTCTTCTAAACAAAGAACAAAGTGACAACGTAAGAAATATATGTGGGTAAACGATATTAATGGTTAAGTAATAAACAGGAAAAAAAATGAACATAATATTAGCAGAATGGAAGAGAGAATAGTGACAATAGCTCCAGATAAGTCGCCAACGGGAGGGAGAAGTAGGCCGACCTCATAAAAGGTGAAGCGACAATTTGGGAGTTGATACAGATGAATAAGATTAAACAGGCGATTCGCCTAAAATAAAGAAGAAACAAAATGAAGTATTCGGCTATATTATGTCAATTTCTGTGTATTTATTCTTCAGATAGATAATTTATAAAAGGTATTTGTAATTACAAACTGTTCTTTGGTTATGAATTCTTCAAGTTGAGCAACCCTATCGACGCTTCCCGAGACCAAACAATCCTACATACTCTTCACGCTGTTCGTTACGAATTTTTAACATGCATCTTTTAAGTCTCATATTATGATGTTTAGTATATTCTTGAGCTGTGCTTCTAAGGTTTTCTTTGGATTTTGTAGAACTCTTCTATTATAAATTCTGATTTGTCTGCTTTGGAATACTTAAATAATTATTTAATACTTAAATAAGTATTCCGAATTAATTAATCGTTTTAATCGCAAAAATTCTTCTTCTTTATGTACCATATCCTTTCAGAACGTGGGTTACCATAATAGCTATATAATTTTATTTATCGATACTCTAAATTGCGTGCTTGTATCAATATCCATATCAATCACGCACCTTATTTAACCATGTCTTTCTTAGTCATGGACTGCGTTTTTCTGCTATATTTTCCCTTAGATAATATTTTGTAGAAATCTCTATTTGCGACTTCTCATTGAGCAAAATTGCAAATTAAATGTAAATTTTTTTTCCTAGGTTTCATCTATTTCGGTATAGATAGCGTTCTATATTATTTTTAAATTTTTTAAACTTTTTTTTTTTCACGATTGCATAAATATTCCTGTTTTATTGTTCCTATTTTATTTGCGATTCTCCTAGCAGCTTTTTCTATAAAGTCATTGATGCGTTCTCCTAGATTTGTACTTTAATATCTCTTTAATATAAATGTACAAATGACTTTCTTTCTACCGTTTTCTAGGGGGACTAAGGTTTTTACTCATATTCGTCAGTTCATCTGCTGAATCTCTGCGAGACGTATTTGCTATTGTACGATTATAGCACATTTTTTATAAAAGTTAAAAAATAGACAATCTATCACTGTAAATTACTACTTATTAATAAATTAATTTAATGAGTAAACATGTTTTTTATATCCAAAATGCCAGAGAAAATTTTTGCGAATGAAAGAAGAACGGTTTATACTTTCTACAATTTATTGAAGCAATTATATCAAAAATTAACCAACACTAAGAAAAATATAAACTTTTTAAAGATAAATTACATTGAACTAAGGCAGTGAATATTAGGCGATAAAAAGACGGAATAGAATAAATTAAAAGTCTGCTACTAAAAAAATATTTAGTGGAGTAAAAGTAGAAGAAAATAAATAGATACGATAAAGACACGTGGAAATTAAAGAGCTACATGTTTCTCAAAAAATATTTAGCATAGAGGTAAAGAATATAGATGCAGTAAAAGATAATCTAAAAATTCGATAATCTAAAAAGTCTAAAAAGACGTTTCTTTACAAGAATTGAAGAATATCCAGCGAGTGAGCGTGAGCGCAGTAAGAGAAAGGTTTAGTAATTTGCTGAAGCTAGGTTCAGCAGTTGAAGATCATTCGACAAATTGTTATAAGTATAATATACGTAGATGTAGAGTATACATATAAGTTTGTTTCACACCGCAATATGAAAAGGTCTATGAAGTCAAATGGCCCCTTTATTTACATTTTAAAATAGTACAGACTTCAATAAAACTAAATATATGCTTTTTTACTTTTATTGTATTCTTTACATTTTTTTATTTTATAAACAACTATATTTAACAAATAATAATCAATAATATATTTATTATAGTTCCAGAATTCCCTTACCAAGCGTCTTCAATGAAACCAACAAGAAGCAACACGCTCGATATTAACCCAATTAATGATAAACATGTAAAAGCTACGATTTTAAAATATTTACAAGATATGCAAAATATTCAAAACGAAATAATTAAAAATATGACTAACGATACGGACCCTATTTTACAGGAGCCAACAAGTAGGCAAAACTGCATAGATAACGCTTCTTCTCTAACAAGTGAACGTAAGTTTGAGATATTAATTATTTAAAGTATTTTTAAAATTTTCCACCTGAAAACACTAAGTTTTGTTACATGTTTTCACCTAAATGGATATAGGTGAAAGTTAATAGGTTTGTTTACAAATTCCTTCGCTAAAAGATCCAAGGATTGCGATCCGAGAATTTATACAGTATGTAAAAGCCAAATGGAATAAATTCATTATTTAGGTTACTGTACATATTTATAAAAAATCCCGAAACATTCCAAATTTAAATGATAACTTGACATTCTTTAACGTGAAATGCAACCGCTACCTTCAACCGCCTTAGAATGACACGTACAACCCCTAATTTTTAAAATAGGAAGTATAGGTTTGTGATATATCGTTTAAAAGGTCTTTTCATTCTCCATTTAAAAATGTTGTCGCTTTCAAGTTTATTAATATTAATTAAGATAAAATAAATTAAAATCATGTGGTTACCGAAATTCGCTACAATACAAATGTAGAACACGAAAAAGAACTATGAATGCTAATGAAGTAGATGTTCAAAATGTTCACCGCGAACTTCTTGGCAACATCCTACTCTCAAATAAAACTGTCTTGTAACATTACTTAACATAACAGACGTGATCGACCTTTTAAGTCATTTAAATCAGAAGGTTTAGTTTTGTACACATGGCTCTTCACATATCCCCATAAAAAGAAATCTAATAATCTAAGATCAGGTGATCGCGCTGGCCATTCAATCGATCCTCGCTTCCCTATCCACCGATTGGGAAATATTGTATCGAGGTACTGCCGAAGATTAAGTTGGTAATGTGGTGCTGCTCCATCCTGCTGAAACCATATCGTATTCGCTGGAACTTGAGGGTTTCCTGGATCAGAATATAAATTTGCCAACGTTGGAATGACATCATTTTGAAGTAGTGCCAAATAATTGTTGCCATTCAAGTTGCCCTCAATGAAAAAGGGACCAATAATATTGTTTCCTACAATCCCTGCCCAAACATTAACCTTTTGAAGGTATTGAGTGTGTTCTTCTCTCATCCAGTGAGGATTTTCCGCGGCCCAGTAGCGGCAATTTTGCCGATTAGCATGACCGTTAAGTGAAAAAGTACACTCATCAGAAAGCATAACGTCTTCTAATTGGATAATATTGTTATCCAACATGTCCATCATTTGCTCACAAAAAAGTTCTCCTATCAAAATCGTCTTCCATGAGTTCCTGAGTAGGTATCATCTTATAGGGATGCAATTTATTTTCTTTTAATATGTTTACTATCGATGTATGGCTAGCATTGAATGTAGTGGATGCCTGTCTACTCGATGTATGTAAATTTTCCTGAAACTCAAGCAACACATCTAATTTGAGTTCATCACTCAGTGCATTGGCAGCTGCTTTTTTTATCTGCCTTACATGACCACACTCGCGAAACTGCTTTTCTATTTTACGTATTGTTCCTTGGGATATAGGCGGTAAATTAGGAAATTTCTTATGAAATAGGCGAGTTACTTCCTGTTGTGTTCGGGTGTTATCTCCGTAACCAATCATTTGTAAAACTTATTTTATGCATTTCCGTTAATCTAACCATTTTTCAGAATTAAATTAAACGAACTTTCTAGTTAAATTAAAATACTGACAACTTAAATAAAACAATTTACTAAGGCGTCTTAAAATAACGTTGACACAGAAATTCTTTAAAGTTTTTTAATGGTTATCATCTAGAAACCACCTTGCTATGGTTTTTGTTCACTTTCTCGTTATCAAGACCTAAACGGGAAATAAGTTTTGAGTACATTTTAGCGAATTTCGGTAACCACATGATTTTAATTTATTTTATCTTAATTAATCTGAATAAACTTGAAAGAGACAACATTTTTGAATGGAGAATGAAAAAACCTTTCAAACGCTATATCACAAGCCTATACTTCCTATTTTAAAAATTGGGGGTTGTACCTGTCATTCTAAGGGGGTTGAAGGTAGGGGTTGCATTTTCACGTTAAAGAATGTCAAGTTATAATTTAAATTTGACGTGTTTCGGGATTTTTTATAAATATGTACAGTAACCTAAATAATGAATTTATTCCATTTGGCTTTTACACACTACATAGTACACTACATAATAGATACAGTATGTAAAAGCCAAATGGAATAAATTCATTATTTAGGTAACTGTACATATTTATAAAAAATCCCGAAATATGTCAAATTTAAATTATAACTTGACATTCTTTAACGTGAAATGCAACCCCTACCTTCAACCGCCTTAGAATGACACGTACAACCCCCAATTTTTAACATAGGAAGTATAGGTTTGTGATATATCGTTTAAAAGGGTTTTTCATTCTCCATTTAAAAATGCTGTCGCTTTCAAGTTTATTAAGATTCATTAAGATAAAATAAACTAAAATCATGTGGTTACCGAAATTCGCTACAATACAATCAAAAACTAAAATGTAATGCAAAACGTAATAAAATGTAGAACACAAAAAAGAACTGTGAATGCTAATGAAGTAGATGTTCAAAATGTTCACCGCGAACGTCTTTCCAAAATCCTACTCTCAAATAAAACTGTCTTCTAACATTATTTAACATAACAGGCGTGATCAACCTAATCGAAAGCGTTATTTGTTCTTTTAAGTAATTTAGATCAGAAGGTTTAGTTTTGTACACATGGCTATTCACAGATCCCCATAAAAGAAATCTAATAACCTAAGATCAGGTGATCGCGCTGGCCATTTAATCGATCCTCGCTTCCCTATCCACCGATTGGGAAATAATGTATCGAGGTACTGCCGAACATTAAGTTGATAATGTGGTGCTGCTCCATCCTGCTGAAACCATATCGTATTCGCTGAAACTTGATGATTTCCTGAATCAGGATATAATTTGCCAACATGATTTTGAAGTAGTGCCAAATAATTGTTGCCATTTAAGTTGCCCTCAATAAAAAAGGGACCAATAATATTGTTTCCTACAATCCCTGCCCAAACATTAACCTTTTGAGGGTATTGAGTGTGTTCTTCTCTCATCCAGTGAGGATTTTCATGACCGTTAAGTGAAAAAGTACACTCATCAGAAAAATGCAAGAGATTGTCTCAGAGCTGGGAAGATACGGAATTGAAGTTGCAGTAATTCAAGAAATTAGATGTGCAGGTCAAGGAGAAATAAATAAAAAAAATTACACATTACACTGCTCTGGGCACGAAAAACAAGGTCAATATGGAGTTGCATTTATAACTACAGGAAAAATACAAAATAATATTATGCAATTTAAACCAATAAATGAGCGCATGGCATACCTAAAAATTAACGCCAAACCATTTAATATATCCATCATAAACGTATATGCACCAACTGAAAGTGCTGTAGCAGAGGAAAAAGATAACATCTATGAGAAACTGGAACAAGAAATTGAATCTTTACCCAAAGAAGACACAATTCTGGTAATGGGAGATTTTAACGCTCAGATAGGCAAAGAAGACTACATTAACCAAGTTGCAGGTAAATATACATTACATGAAAAAACAAATGATAATGGTCAAAGATTATGCAACTTAGCAACTAGCACCAATATGATTGTCAGTAGTACAAAATTTGCACATCCTGTGTACCACAAAGTAACATGGGTCTCACCAGACCAAAAAACATGGTCCCAAATACACCATATAGTCATCACAAAGAGAAAGCAAACATCGATAACAGACGTGAGAACATACAGAGGTGCACATGCAGACACAGACCATTTCATGGTTACCGCAACGTTAAGACAAAAAGTCAAAAGAATGCCAAAAAAACAAGACAACAAAGGACAAATGGTACATAGAAAAATTAAATGCTACAGATAGAAGAATTAAATATGCAGAAGATATAAGCAAAAAACTGAAGGAATACTGTGAACATACAGAGGATGTTGAAACAAAATGGAGCAATATAAAAAAATGTATAGATGAAACAGCTTCTGAACATGTAGGGATGGAGAGAAAGAACAAAAAAGAAGAATGGTATAATCAAGACTGTCATAACATGTTAAAAAAGAAGATAGAAATAAGACAAAGGTGGATCAGAACAAATAGACAAGAATATAAAGAAGAATACAACAAGTTAAGGACAGAATGTAAGAAACAAATAAGAAAAATTAAACGAATCTGGTTAAATGATAAGATAAATGAAATAGAAAAAGAAAACACAAATAGAAACACAAAAGCATTTTATAAGAAAATTAGCGAGCAGAACAAAACCTTCAAAGGAAAGATAAAAGGCATAAAGGATAGAAATGGAAAAGTATCAGAAAATGACAAAGAGTTTAAAGAAATCTGGACTGATTACACGATGATAGAAACCGAGCTAGAATAACCAACGAGAGATGAAGGTCAAAATACTGCAAAGGACTAAAAAGTAATTCAAAATTTCCAGAAATAGGTGTGAGAGAGAAATTTTCTGGGCTATCTGCTCAAGTGGCAATTGAGATAAAAGAGACAATTTACTATCAGAAACCTTGTTACTTGTATTTCAAATATCTTTAAGGAAAATATTTTTATTTAGTTTGCTACAATAGAATTCAAAGCTTACTGTGCGCATTAATGTTAGAAATTTTCTAGCTTTCGCTATGTATTTTTTAGCCTCTATATAGTTCTCAACACTAGCAGAAATTTTAAATGTATTAATAGCTGAAACTCTTTTTTGTATTATATAAACACATAAATCATCCCACCATAAAATGTGATATTTGTTGTTATGAGAGGAGGTCAAAGGAATTGATGTGTCTGCCACTCATGGTATATATTTGATAAAATTTTCATAGTTCTAAATTAAAAACGATGGGAAAATAGACTCTAGTTTTTCATGAAAAGGAAATTAATCAGACTTTTTGAAATTTCTTCTTTTAGAAACCTGATTAGAGTCCTGTGTTGGGATGCCGACATAGCATAGAATGGGAAAATGATCACTAGATCCTTTATCTGAATTGGTAGTCCATCCACTAATTTTAGGTGCCACATCTATCGAAGCCAATGATAAGT